AGAGAATAAGAATATAAAATGTCTGGATTAGTAGTTTCTCAAGAGAATAAGAATATAAAATGTCTGGATTAGTAGTTTCTCAAGAGAATAAGAATATAAAATGTCTGGATTAGTAGTTTCTCAAGAGAATAAGAATATAAAATGTCTGGATTAGTAGTTTCTCAAGAGAATAAGAATATAAAGATCCAAGCTCAGGCACACGAGGCACACTTGTTTAAGCTTGTACAACACTGCGAACTAGGCAGGAAGAGAAGGTAAAAATTAAAATAAAAGGAATCATGGTTGAAAATAAATTTAAATATTATAAACGATTTACTTTAATTGACGTGACAAATATGAACTCTTTTATCATTTACATATATATCTTTATTTCTCCACCTATCTTTACATCTGGCTAAATATATTTCTACCTAGATACTTCACAGATTTGTCGGTATGCAGACTCTGAAAGAATTTCAGGGCAAATACTTCTTGTAAAAAGTTTTAATATAAAAAATAATATCTTTTTGAATAACTTTACAAATTGTTTTAATAATTTTTTTCAAAATATATTTTTTTTTGAAAAATTGACAATTCATTAATTTATTCATTTCATTTCCTGTTTACTACTTATTTACATCTATATCTTTCTATATGTACGCATGTTATACATGTTATACATGTTATACATGTTATACATGTTATACATGTTATACATTTAGTTCCACGATTAACACCTAGCAATCTAATTCTATATGTACGCATGTTATACATGTTATACATTTAGTTCCACGATTAACACAGAGCAATCTAATTCTATATGTACGCATGTTATACATGTTATACATTTAGTTCCACGATTAACACCTAGCAATCTAATTGGATAGGGCTAGCCACAGAAAACGCTGAAACCTGACTACTTTTCATCTTTATAGCGAACTTGACGTTTAATTTTTATATAAATATCATTATTTTTCAAAATCTATATAACAAAACAAGATTTTCATATATATGTTTCCTATAGCCGGCCAAACTTGTATGATTTTTTTTGCGGACACTCATGGGTAGCCTGCGGGAGTCAAATTTTTTTCTTCAAAATTATTCAGCTAGTATTTAATAAGCATCTTTTATTTTCATAGTGTCAAATTAATGTAGATATTCTTAAATTAAAGGGACTTTGATCTTTATTGCCAAATCAAAGAGAATATGCCTGATTCACAACGGTACACTGTAAACCTTTGTATCTGCGAACACAATGTAAAGTTATTCTTTTTTAAATCTGAAAATTGATAATTTCTACAGTGATTACTCTCTATAAAAATGACTTTAGCAGCAGTAGATACAAAGAAGAAAATGATCAAAATTCAACACTTCGGATCAATACAAATTAAAAACACAGATATTTTTCTCATTCTTACTCAGTTAAAGGGTATCGCTGTGAAAAAGGCAGACCCCTCAATGAAGGTTCACTTGAAATGACGCCCATAGTCCCTTTAAACAACTTATCCCATCTGTTGAAATACCATAGAGTTAAAGAAGATAATATATCAAGTACCTATCTATCTATCTATCTATCTATCTATCTATCTATCTATCTATCTATCTATCTATCTATCTATCTATCTATCTATCTATCTATCTATCTATCTATCTATCTATCTATCTATCTATCTATCTATCTATCTATCTATCTANCCCCCTCCTCCCAGTTTCTTCGCCTCCTGTTTATTTTCAGAATGTAAACAAATCTGTCGGAGAGAAAACTTAAATAGATAGATAGATAGGTAGATAGATAAACTGTTAGATAGATAGATTGATAGATAGATAGATTGTTAGATAGATAGATCGTTAGATAGATAGATTGATTAGATAAATACATATATTAGAAAGATAGATATAATGTTAGATAGATAGATTGTTAGATGGATAGATATATTGTTAGATAGATAGATGAGAATATGCATAGAAAGCTGGATTGTATTGAAAGCAGTGCCTAATTGATTTCAATTGTATGCAATATACATGCACTAGAGCTTTAAGCCAAGCCTTAATCAAACCCACTCAAGTCACCACAGAGATCAGAGGGGCAAGCTCATAAAAAGGAGGTGCATGAAGCAATTATGATTTCACTCGTTGCATTGTGATTGCAACCTTCTTTTTTACTATTGGAAATTGAGGAAATCCACGAGATTTTTATTTGTAAAAAAGTTAATTCTTCTAGACTGGAAAATATACATATATACCCCCTTCCCTCACTCCACCTTCACTTTATTAGTGGGCGTATGCCCCTTTCCCATCAACTCAAAAAATCCCATTTGCATGAAAAATTCAAAATTACTACAATGTATAAAATCTTAATAGAAAATAAAAAAGTCTAAACTTTATAGTGCAAAATGGCGAACGTCAACATGTACGATTGTGATTATACAAATCCACCTGCACAAGATGGAGGTCAATGCTTGCTCCAGAGAAACAAGAAAAAAGTTTTGAAGTCAATTTATTTGTTTTACCTTTTTCTGGTTTAAGTTTGCCATACTTGCACTCAGCTTTTCCCACTGGGAATCCACATAGGTATTTCTAAAAAAGATTTTAAAATAAAATACAGATTTGAAAGAGATAGTTTAAAAAATTAGGGACTGGATTTAAGAAGTTCCGAGAAGTCGTTGAACTACCTACCGCCAGTTCAAATCCTAAATCATCGATTCAAGGTTAAAGATTAATGAGAATCTAGCTAATCAATTGGAGATTAAACCGGCGGTAGATTGTTTAGATCGACCTCTCACATTAATTTAATTCGGTCTCAGATTTGATAAAAAGAAACTAGGTAGACTTAAATGAACCGGTCACAATCAATCAATCTAATATATCACAATCACACGGAAATCTATCAAACTGTAAACTATATTATTATTTTTAATACCTGGATATGCCTTAGACACCTCCGCCATTATAAGTTCAAGATTAGGTCGGCTAGCTGTCAAATTCTCCCTGGACTCCGCCGTGGCGGAGCGGAACTTTTTCAGGGCGGAGTCAAGTTCAGTCAATGGCCGACTTTGTTCGTAGGAGGCGGAGGCGGGTAATCGCCGCCGACCTGGAGGTAATGGCGGTTTATACGCCACGGCGGGGGCTGCATCATTATTTTCATTTTTCTCTTGAACTAATGAATCTTTTGGATGACTATTGTCTGTGTCCTGAACTGATGATTTAGTTTCTGAATTAATATTAACTTCTACTTCATATTTGGCTTTAGGCTTCTTTCGTTTACTCGATCTATTTTCAATATTTTTTATTCTAAAATTTTAAACTTTTAAATAAAAATTGGATTTAATGTAAGTGTATTGCTATAATTGTCAAACTACTGCCAGGTTAGCATAAAAATGACAAAATATGTAAAATTAGTTGTTTTAAAAACGAATTTTTTTCTCGCAGTTTTAGATATTAAAATTATTGAACTTAGTTAAATATCTATTTCTATAAATATTTAGCTTTTATGTTGCTTTGTCTGTTTGTTTCTTTGTACCGCAAATAAAAAGTCTAATCGGCTGAACCGAACAGGCCCATTTTTTTGCGGTAACTCGCATGAATTCAGTTGCTTCAAAATAATTAAAATTAATCAAAAATGTTAGAAATCCGCAAAAAAAAAATCAGCGAAAATTGTTTTTCTCATTTTTTCAAAATGAAAGAAAGGCTTGCTTTTAGCAACAAATAAAGGTTAGGAGTTAACAAAATATTGAACAAACAGGGAATAGAGTTTTTGCCACAAATACAAATTTTTTAACCCCTAAATCTTTACAACCTGATGTATAAACATCTGATATTTTAAACTTAGATTATTTGATCCAGTTTAAAATATCAAAGGTCTACGGCTTTAGGTTGGAAAGAAATAGGGATTTAAAAATTTGAATTTGTGGCAAAAAGTCAATTCTTTTGTGATGTCAAAAAAATATTAAATAAACCTAAAGCTGAGTCGTTCAAGGGCTGCTCTGAATAATTCTCCACCGCTCTTCTTCCCTTCCTTCCCTTCCTTTACTTCTTTTTTAAACATTGTGTTCATACGCTCTGTGCTAATACAGTGCTGTTGTCCCGTCTGCTGTTGAAGCTGTTGAAGCTGTTGAAGCTGTTGCGGTTTAGGAGGCGAGGGTAAAGAATTTTGCAGAAATCTGAAGAAAAAAATGTTTTAATTTTGACGTTGATTTGGATACAAACAAACCAACAGACAATTAAAGTATATAAATACATAGATGATGTCCAGACGATTAAGGCTGTTAGGGGATGAACTGATGAAGGACACCGGTAATAAAAACAATATCACCGGAACAAATTAGACATTTACACTTGGTAGAAATTTACTGTGTATGCTAAAGGTTAAAGTAAGTAAGTTTTGTATTCATTAATGTTAAAACGGAAGCAATAAAATATTAACTGTTCTGTCATTATCTCAATTAAGAAAATGCCAAGAATTTCATCCTTATCCCTCCCCCCTCTCTTAACCAAAAGAAAAGAAAAAAGAGAGTAGTCTAACAACAAATATATCAGCATTTTGACTCTTAAATGTTATATACTAAAGTTATGTACAAGAGCGATGTAGAATTGAAATGTACATGTCAAGAGCTATACAAAAAAAAGTAAAAGTGAGTAAAAAAATCAAAACCAATAGCCAGGGGGTTGCGACACTTCGAAGACGACCCAGTCTAGTAAATGGATTCATAATGTTTATAGCTCTCTGGATCTCTATAGCGATGGGTCAACGAATACCATTTATCGTTATAGAAGCAGGCGAATTTATGCCACAGGGACAAAGAAGGAAAGTGTTATAGGAATTCAACACTATTTAAGAGTATAAAAATGTTCTTCACCAATGTTGCTCAGAAAAAGCGTAAAAAGTACCGCTGACAATCGGACATGCAAAAAGAGGATCATTTGAAATTATGTTGACAGTCCCTTTAAAAAAAATCATTTAAAACTTGAGAACAATCCTTTAAACTCTTGTTAAAGGAGAAACAAACTGATTTAGGTATGTAGGCGGTAGAAAAAAGGACTGAATGAGATATAATTCAATTGAAAAATAGATTGTGAACTTGCTAAAGGACCCCCAACGCTGAAAACTTAAAAAGATTCAAACATAGATTTGAAAATTAAGGATCTTCCAGGAAAATTAGAATATTATTTAAGGAGAAAAAAATACAGAACAAAATTTTTCAAAGCTTCAATGATATTCCGTTCAGATAACCTCGAAATAGTAAACGAATAAAAAGATAAAAATATCTATTATAAGGAGAGAAAAGCGATGGAAAAGAAATAAAAGATTGATGGTGGAAAGCAAAATAACTGAAAACTACAAATTCAACAAAATATATATTATAAATAATGAATCAATTACCTGGGCTCGGAAAGATCAGTTTCCCGAAATTCAACAGATTTTTCCCTTTCAATATTTGGCTTCAATAGAAATTCAATTTCTGGAAAATCAGTCACGTTTTCTTCGGTTTCACTTATCGGGAGGGTTTTGGAAGACACACTTTTGGGCTCTATGTCTCCAAAACTAAGCTCACTTCGTTCACTTTTAAACTCGTAAACAGTTCCTTGTCCGAGGTCTACTCCGCTGCCTGAGCTGGGGCGTGTCTCACCGGAAGAAAGTGTATCGCAACCAAGACTATCTCCAGTAGGGGTATGATCAGAATACCCTGAATCTTCCCCTGTACTAAGGGACGCACTCGGAGTAACCGTCTCCTGTCTCCGGCCTGCACTGGAGACTGGGAGAAGTATTTCTCCGTTCATTTTGGGCGGGAGCACATGTGGGCGATCACGTGACACATCGGAGTCACGTGATAGGATTAGATATATAATAATAATTTTTAATAAATAAGATTTAAGAAGTACGGCAATTGCTTACAGAAATAAACGTTAACCAATCAATCAATCTAATATATCACAATCACACGGAAATCTATCAAACTGTAAACTATATTATTATTTTTAATACCTGGATATGCCTTAGACATATATATTCTAATACACTCCACCTGTTCGCTAAATCCGACCTTTTACTTTCAATTTTACTATTTTGCAAAATGTACATAAAGATTCATTTGAAAAATTTGAAAAAATATAAGAATCACCTATATGATAAAACAAGACATTCCTATTTTTTGTACCCCTATAGCCGGTCATTTTTTTAGGGAATATAGGTACCCTGGGGGTAACATCTAGGCTAAAAAAATCTAAAATTTGAATTTTTCAAAAAGAATTTTTTTTCAAAAACCTAATTTTTTTTTTCAAAATCTAAATTTTTTTCAATGTTTTTTATGTACCATAAACACTTTTTTTTTGGAAAGATTTCGAAAAATTCTTAAATATGAAAAATGTTACCTTGCAAATCCTCGTTTGACTTTGCCCAGACTCCTGACCGTTTAGGTAGAGGGGGCACAGGTAGCTCGCGCTTACGGGCCAACTCTTCCTGAAGATAGATAGTTTTACAGTGTATACACATTCATCAAATATTTTGCGCATTTTCAGACAATTTTTCGAGGATATCTTCTAAAGACAAAAAAATAAAAATTGCTTTTATCTAAAAAATCATTTATAGCAATTTTAAAATTCGGTCATGGACCAAACCTCTGTAGAGTAAATAAAGTAGATGTAAGTTCCACATTTATTGAAAATATATTTCGGTCTGGGTTGACCCTCGTCAGTTTTTGAGATTGTTTCTGTCACAAATATTAAGAATTATAAATATATAGAAAATTAAACAATGACATGGCTCAAATATTGATAAAAACACATTTTTAAGCAGGGATAAAAACTAAAATTAAGCATGATGAAACTTTTTATAGCTAACTAAAGTTTTAAAGCAATAAATCAAAGCAAAATTGTCAGCAAACAGACCCGTTTCACAAGTTTAGTTGATTTTCTAGAAAAACTATTTGCTCATATAACAACATTAAATGCACAAATATATCGTCTTCCTATTCCACAATATTCCTGGGTTCACTGCTTATAGGAATTATATTCAGATAAAAAGGATAAGTATTACCATCTAGCGGCGACAATTTGAACTAAACTAACCTTAAAGCTTCCTCTCGAGAAACAGGATATATTTGACGGGAAAACTAGAGGCAGTACACTCATATCTGAGAACACAGCAGTACACAAGTACTCAGCGTACTTCGAGGATGCTGTACTTACCTAGATAGATAGATAGTTAAATAGATATATTGATAGATGGATCGATAGATAGATAGATGGATATATAGATGGATAGATAGCTAAATAGATATATTGATAGATGGACAGAAAGATAGATAGATGGATAGATGGATAGATGGATAGGTGGATAGAGTAATAGATGAATAGATGGATAGATGGATAGGTGTATAGATAGATGATAGATACATAGATAGGTAGATAGATAGTCAGATAAATGGATAGATGGATAGATGTATAGATAAATAGATGGATAGATATATAGATAGATAGATAGATGTATAGCTAGATAGCTATATAGCTAGATAGATAGATGTATGGATGGATTGATAAAAAGATAAATAGATAGATAGGTGGATAGAAAGATATGTGGCTAGATAGCTATATAGATAGATAGATAGACGTATAGATGGATTGATGAAAAGATTATATAGATACATAGACATGTTAAAAGATAGACAGGTGGATAGAAATTATAGATAGATAGATAGATTTTACATGTAGATATATAGATAGATAGGTTGATAAACATTGTTTTAAATAAAGTTGTTTTTCTTTGAATTACTTTTGTCGCCCCCCTTTGCAGTGCTCCAACCCGAACCGATAAATAGGTACAATTTATAATATTTAAAACGTGTTCATAAAATCATGCAAAATATGATTTGTACATAAATATGCAGTTTAATCCGATTTAGATGTGAATACCTGTAGGCCATATATAAATTATACAATAGATACCATATAGGTATCTTACAATTAGTCATTTAGACACTCAGCTCATATTCTGCAATAGACAGCAGGAGGTTTTATATGCAACATTATTGGTACGACATTATGACCTTGTAAATCCTCTAGTTTTGATTTTGATAGACAACATGTAAGATTTTAATCCCGCGTTAAATAGATATAGTTAGAAAGTAAACAGTTAGGCAACTAAATAGTGATACAGATAGATAGTTAGACAGCTAAACAGCTACAGGGCGTCCCGCATAAAATTAGACCGCGTCAGTCGCTCTAAATCACGATTTGTGGGATAAATCATAAAATTTAAGAAAAATGCATCATTTTGAAAAATTTAATAAGGCTAATAGATTTTTTTTTTGCAGAAAATGCTAGATTTTTCGAGTATTATGTGCGTATTTTTGCGTTAAAGATTGGAGATAATCTAATATGATATGGGACGCTCTGTAGTTGACTAAGCAGCTAGAAATACAGCTAGTTGACTAAGTAGCTAAAAATACAGCTAGTTGACTAAGCAACTATAAATACAGCTAGTTGACTAAGCAGCTTTAATGACAGCTAGTTGACTTAGCACCTAAAAATACAGCTAGTTGACTAAGCAGCTATAAAAACAGCTAGTTGACTAAGCAGCTATAAATACAGCTAGTTGACTAAGCAACTATATATACAGCTAGTTGACTAAGCAGCTATAATGACAGCTAGTTGACTTAGCAGCTAGAAATTCAGCTAGTTGACTAAGCAGCTTTAAATACAGCTAGTTGACTAAGTAGCTAGAAATTAAGCTAGTTGACTAAGTAGCTAGAAAATCAGCTAGTTAACTAAGCAGCTATAAATACAGCTAGTTGACTAAGCACCTAAAAATACAGCTAGTTGACTAAGTAGCTAGAAATTTAGCTAGTTAACTAAGCAGCTTGAAATACAGCTTGTTGACTAAGCAGCTATAAATACAGCTAGTTGACTAAGCAGCTAGAAATACAGTTAGTAGACTAAACAGCTAGAAATACAGCTAGTTGAATAAGCAGCTAGAAATATGTATAGCTAGTTGACTAAGCAGCTAGAAATATGTACAGCAAGTTGACTAAGCAGCTAGAAGTACAGCTTGTCAAGTGATCATCCGACCAATACTTAATAGTTTTGAACGACGCTAAGATAAGCCCAGCCAATGCATTGAATGAAACGAGATGGGTGGGTGTATATAATGTATTCAGTATTGGGTCAGAGAATTCAAATATTCTAACATCTTAACATAACATATTCGTAAGAAAAATATCGATGGTAATTTTTTAAATCTTTAATTAAGAAACTTGAGAAGATTTAAATCCATTTTCTGCATGTTTTTACTAAACAACTTTTGATATTATTAACTCATTATCTGCCACCAACTTGCCACCAACTCAAATATTCTCATCCCATATCTTTGCAACCTGGTAATGGTATTAACATTTAATACTTTCAAACTTAAACTGTTTGATCTTATAGATTTTATAGGTTGAAATATCAAAGGTTATGCGACGTCGGGTTGCAAAGATATAGGCATATTCAAAGGATGAGACTTTATTCAGCTGTTTTTGATTTTTATCACAATAAGTGAGTGGTTTTTAATTTATCTCTTATAGCAATGGTGTTTTTTTCAAACTCAACCAAAGTCCGACGTTTTTCCTTGTAAAGGTACCTGTCCGACGTTTGTACTGGTCCGACGTTTGTACCAGTCCGACGTTTGTATCAGTCCGAAGTTTGTACCTGTCCGACGTTTGTACCAGTCCGACGTTTGTACCAGTCCGACATTTGTACCATGTCCGACGTTTGTACCAGTCCAACGTTTGTACCAGTCCAACGTTTGTACCAGTCCAACGTTTGTACCAGTTCGACGTTTGTACCAGTCCAACGTTTGTACCAGTTCGACGTTTGTAAGTCCGACGTTTGTACTGTCTGACCTTTGTAACGTCCGACGTTTGTGGTTCCGACGTTTGTGCTGGTACCACATTTATGTACCAGCAGCTTTCTGCAAAAAAAGAAGCACCAAATAAACTGATTTGAAATATCAGAGGCTTACGCCACTAGCTTGCATGCAACCCCCCCTCCCACTTCACCCAAACTCCCCCTTGACCCCCTTGGTTACAAATAAGGAGAAACAAAACTGACAATGGTGCATGAAAAGTGCTTATATTACTAAAACAATGGCTTGAATAGTCATGAATATGCATGATATACATGCTAGTGCTAACATAAAGGGTGTCTTAAAAAATCATCGGTAATCTTAATCAATAATCGTGGTGTGATAAAATAAAGAAATTGACACTTTGCCATAAACTCTGATTGTCTAATCCCTATATCTCTGCAACCCAATGTTGTAGACCTTAGATATTTCAAACTATGAATTCTGTTTGATCCAATAAATATGAAAGGATTACGTGTCAGGTTCCAAAGATATAGGGAGTAGAAAATTTAAGTCTGTGACTCAATTTCTTTGCTTGCAAAATATCAAGACGCATTTAAAAATAAGAATTTCACTAAGGGGTGTTCAGAAAAATATATATTTATGGGTGTCTCAAAAATTTAGAACCGTGATATATTCCTGAAGACTGTGTTTGGTAAACAAGTATCCGAGGTGAATCTGAAAATAAGAAATGTTAAATATATTTTGATAAAAAGGGTCAATGCAAGAACTGAGCTAGGAACTATTGTATTTTGGACATCGAGATCAATTCTTGATCAATGCTTAATCTCGATCTTTTGATAATCTGCAGATTAATTTAATCTTTTCGATTTCTCGCACGGTAATCGAGCTCAGTCAGAGGTTGAACTTTGAGGGGAGCTTTAATCGGGGGAGAAATAACCTAAATGAAGATCTTGGAAAGGCGTATTTTTTATAGTTGCGTTAAATTAAAAGTGCTCATAATGAATGTTGAGATCAACCAGTCGAGATTTTTTCGTTTTGAAAACATTCTTAAGAGAAACAACAAATATGTGAGAAGTTTGACTTGTTCCGCTGTATTCTGAGCAAATTTGTTTTTATTATACTACGCATCATCTTGACTCTACTATAAATCAACGTTTTCCATAATTTTAAAAAAGCAATATAAAAAAACTTTGAAGATTTTATACTGAGCTTCGTTCAATTCAACTTACTCACAGTTATAAGAAACCCTAACATTGTATTCATAGTATCGAACAACTAAAACCATTTCGATATAACACTGACTTTTTTAACGGTATGTTAGGAGTTTAAAAACTTATGAGATATTCCTAACATGCTGTTAGTAAACGTTCATAGTTTTAAAATGCTCTAAATAGTTCGATATGACGTTCAAAATGTTTGCTTTCTGATCGTGTATTCTCACCTAATCCTTGAGGCTGATGAGTGTGAACTAACTGGACTGATTGAACCGCTGTTACTGCTGAATCCTAAAAAGTTAAGTTAAATTATTCTACTATTATTTTCTCATAAATAATTCAGCATTAAATATTCACGCAGTTACACGCAGGCATAAATCCTAAATGGGGGGAGGGGGGCTAGAAAGTTAATCTCGAACTTGTATTATTCATTTTAAAAGAAATCGGTTCTTTGCCACAAAATCAAATTTTCTAATTCCTTTATCTTTGCAACCTGATCGCGTAAACTTTTAACATTTGATCTAACAGAGTTCATAGTTTGATATCTAAGGTCTACAACATTGGGTTCCAAAGATAAAGGAATTAGAAAATCAGAGTTTGCGGCAAAGACTCAATTACTGTGTTTATCAATTTATTTATTGACGATAAACGCGTCACCGTCGTAATGCTTTCTTTATTTTTCCTAACGAACTTAAAATGTTCATGTTCCGTAACAAACGATCAATTCATAAAAACCAAGCAGTACCGCTAACAGCCGAAATTCACAATTCAAGTTTGGTTTCGTCAGTATTTAAAAACACTCCTTTTTTGTGCCCAAAAACTGAATTTGAAGTCTGAAATTTAATTTGTATGTGTGTTAGCCATAACTTGTGTAATTTTAAAATTTTGATTGGTTTTACTTTTAGAACTTTAATTTAAGCCACACCTTGATCTGTCAAATTTTGCAATGCGTCATAAACACCGTACGCATTTAAGCGCTTTAAACAACTGAGAACCAAAGTGCGTAATGCGTAACTATCATTTAATCTGTTATAAAACTAACGTCTCATTTATTTTAATCAATGAAGACAGTTAAAACAGTTAAGTTTTAAAATAAAATAAAAAAATTCATTTTTTTCAACTTCCTAAAACGGAGATTAATCTGGAAATCCTTAGTTTAAGAAAGGAGAACCGTCCTTAAAATCCTTTTAATCAAAATAAATCATTATTCAAAGTTTTTATATCTATTTCCTAGATTGCTATTAGAATAGGTATTAATTTTTAAATAGTTTTGATGATAAATAATGAAAATAAAGTTTATGGTTTTGTCAATCTGTCAAATCTGATCACGGGTAAAAAATGTACTCTTGCCACGTTTTTCACATTTAAATTTTTTTGAACCAGTTATTATAAAATTATCGAAATTTCCAAGAATGACTAAACTATAATAAATTGAAGAGAGGGGGGTGCGAGTCATAATAAAGATAATATATTTAATTCTAAAATATTGCGTAAGTTTAAAACAAACGCGTGGTTTAAGGGTGAGAGTGCTTACTCATGCGTAACTGCGTAAACCTTTATAGATTTCTTATAGTTATATTTCAAGGCAGTAAACCATAACAATAAATCACCCCCCCCCCTCTTCTC